TTGTGCAAAATCTTCATGTGCCCCTTTATTTCTTTATTTAAGTAATTGCTCATACTTAGACTAGGGATGAGGGGTTCCCGGTCCGGTCCGGTCCAACCTAAGAATCGAGAACCGGACCGAGAGGACCGATTCCCAGTTTCTAGGACCAGGGACCGGATCGACTAGTCTTGGGACTGTGGACCGGACCAGATCGATGGTCCGGTCTTGTTCCAATGGGACCAATATAAAATATTATTTATGAATCGGGAACCGATTGTTATGTTCTTTCCTTTGTAGTTCTAATTTGATCCCATAAGGCCATGAAAAAAATTGAAAAAATATATATAATATATGAAAAAATTGAACAATCGGTTCCAATGAGAGCAATATTAAATATTATATATATGAAAAAATTAAAAAAAAAATATATTTATCGGTCCGGTCCGGTTCCCATCCTAGAACCAGGAACCGGACCGCTCGGAAACCGGTTCCACTTTTAGGAACCGGGAACCGGACCGATATTCCCGAGAACCGGACCAAATTGGTCGGTCTGGTCTGGTCCCGGTGTGGACGGTCCATCTTGCTCACCCCTAACTTAGACACTCTCATTGCCAATTGGAAAAAATCAGTAAACTCTCTTTATGTGATCAACCAATTGAAAGCCAAATTTGTACACTCCTTTAAAAGCGAAGTGAGGCTTCTTCTAAACTCTAGCAATACACTGATCAACTAACTCATTGTTGTGCTAATAGAGTGCAGCCAAGTCAGCGATCAATGCCTTTGGGATCGTTCTACAGAATTGAGAATTGTCTGTCCATATCTTCAAAATATCGGGTAAAAAATCCTTTCTAATTTACTTTTTTCTATATCATGAGGTTTTCGAGTTTTTTGGTTCGACTAATTTTTGCGGTCACATTTAGACTGCCCTATTCACGTATAGCGGGCCAAGCTCCACTGAAAAATGCTCCGTTTAAAAAGTGGCATGTGGAGCTTCGAGATTAATATGGTGAAAATTTCACCATAAGCCTTAGGCTTATATGAAGAATGGAATCAGAGTTGTCGATCTTTCAATTGGTTTAATCGAGGTTCTAAACCTTTACCAAAACGTACAATCGAGTCCTAAAACTTTACTTGGTTCAATTAAGTCCTAAAAAGTTTATTAAAAAATGCAATTAAGTCATGAAACTTATGTTGAAAATTGCAATTTAAGGATGCCATATAAGCAATTTTTTGGGTGGCATGCAAGCAATTTTAGGTATTATTCATCGAAAAGACTTGATTGCACTTTTTGATAAAAAGTTTCGTCAATTAATTGAAAAGTTTAGGACTTGATTGCATTTTATACTCAAGATTTACAATTTTCGGTACACTTTTCCAATTAATATAAATAAACGACGTTGTTCAGGTCATATCTCGTTGATATTCCTAAATATGTGAGTGGCCAGTTATGAGATGGACGAACCCTATATGAGGATCTTTATTTTCTCCACAACTTCACATATATCGGAAATATAAAAAGTTTCCCATTATCCGTGTATATACGCATTCAAAGCAAAGTTAACGTTTGTTTTCTTTAGACGTGTGAAATAGGGAGGGAAGCATACTTGTTTTGTAATTTACCTTCAAGGTTATTATATCTTAGGACTTTGTTACTATAAGATATGACCATTGTTGACAAAATTTTTTTCGCAAATGTTATTTTCATCTATTTCTTTAAGAATATTGGAAGCTCGTTCCTTCGAAGACTATGTTTTACATATTGCACTATTCATTCTTGCATTTTATAAGAATTTAGTAGAGTTTTGAAAATTAGGATTAAATTTCTAGAGGTTTATTCTCAGCCAAAAAAAAAGAAAAGAAAATACAAATACTCCATGGTTACATCCAAAGTTTTATCAGCTTCACTACTCGACGGTTATATTGACTCCACTACTTGACGGTTGCATCCACTCCACTACTAAACCGTTTCGGGCGACCAAATTGCCGACTAAAAGACTTGGACCATTGTTGGAGCCAACATATGCCACCTTTTAAAAAAATAGAATGGTTGATCAATCATTCGATTATTTTAAATAAGATATCCAAGTGTCATCATATGCCCTCGTCATCAGCAATTTTTCTTGTCGAATGGCCTCCTGAATTGTTTTCCAAAAGCAATACAATTAATTGCGTTATGACTCCATGAGCGGTATCACTTGCAATATTTTTGGTTTACTAAATCTTGTTTACTTGGTATTACTTGGCCTTTAGTTAATTTAATTTGGCAATCTTTCAAAAGTAAGTGAAAGAGATAATTAATATCGAACGACTAAACTTGAATGTCTTTAATCCTATCCATTATTCTTTCTTTTATTTTGGCAAGCTTTAAGGTTGGACAAACATAAGACTTGTCGAACACCGCTTTTGCCACAACTATTTCCACATTTTCTTCTCGGTCATATTCATTTGCTCACTCATATTTTTCTATTAAAGCCACGTTTAGTGTAAAATCTCCATTCGATCCTTTATCTCTTTCTTTAAGTAGTTGCTCATACTTAGACACTCTCTTAGCAAATTGGAATAAATCAACAAAATTTTGCTTTCGAATATTTTGTTTATGTTGAACTTCAACCCATTGAAATCCAAATTTGTGAACTCTTTCACTGAGAGTAAAGTGCGGCATCTATTTCTAGCCATCTTAAATTGAGCAATAAATTGATCAATTGATTCATTTTTTCACTGTTAGAGCCTAGCCATGCCTCAATTATTGTTCTATAGAATTGATAATGGAACTATTTTTCCATCTCTTCCAATTATTGGGGACACAACTCATTTTTTTTCTTCATTTTATATCATGAGGTTTTTGAATTTTCGTTGTGCCTAATCTTTCCAATCACAATAAAACTGCTCCAATCACGTATAGTAGGCAAGGCTGCTCAAAAAGTGGTGGGCGGACCTTCGATATTAATATGGAGAAAATTGCACCATAAGTCCTAAACCTTATATAAAAAATGTAATTGAGTCATCAATCTTTCAATTCGTTTAATCAAGGTCCCAAATCTTTACCAAAAACTACAATCCAGTTTTAAAACTTTAATTGGTTCAATTAAGTCCTTCCATGTATTGAAAAGGCAATTAAGTCCAGAAACTTATGTTGAAAATTGCAATTTAAGAATACCATGTAAATAGTTTTTTAGTGGCATGAGCACAATTTTAGTTATTATTAATCAAAAAGATTTGATTGCACATTTGACAAAAGGTTCGTCAATTAATTGAACTAATTGAAAAGTTTAGGGCTTTTTTACATTCTGCACACTAGATACAATTTTTGGTACACTGTTCCATTAAATATGAGCAAACGACACTGTTTATGTGATATTTCGTTGATTTCCCTATTATGTGAGTGGCCAGTTATGAGATGGACTAACCATATATGAAGATCTTTGTTTTCTTCACAACTTCACATATATGTGAACATAGTAAAGTTTCCCATTATATGTTTATAAATGCATTCGAAGCAAAGTTAACGTTTGTTTTCTTTAGAAGTGTGGAATAGGGAGTGGAAGCATACTTACTTTTCTTTTTTTTGTAATTTACCTTCAATGTTATTATGTCTTAGGACTTTGTTACTACAAGACATGACCATTGTTAACATCTAAATCTTTATTGCATATGTAATTTTCATCTATTTCTTCAAGAATATTGGAAATTGTTTCCCCTCGGAAACAATGTTTTGCACATTAAACTTTTCATTCCTGCATTTTATTAGTATTTTGTAGAGTTTGAAATATTGGATTGCATTTCTTGAGGTTTATTCTCAGCCAAAAAAGAGAAAAAATATAAATAGAGAAATAAATATTACCTTTCATTTAGCACGTAATTTGTGCATGTAGATAACTTTGGTTATTTAGTTAGGGGATCCTGACGATGTATCATATCTCTAGTAGGATTTTCGTTTAAATTCGGAGGTTTCCCAATCCATGCATATCTTATCATCCCAACAACCCAATCGCTTCATGCCAACAAACTCATCTGATCTGATTGATCTGCACTGGTTCAACGTTGGAGGGTGTCGGAAATTTCAGCAAAGTATCATATCTCTAGTTAGGTGTATTTCACACAGTTTTACAGAATCGGCAATTATGCATCCGTTAGTCAGTCGTTGATTCGTGTTGAATTTTTAGGAGAACATCTATACATCTGGTTCTTCAGCCTGACCAAAAGGACGTAAGCGAGACTTGGAAGTTCGCTTTTCATCGCCAGATCGCAACTGGTCTGTTGGTTGAAAAACCAATTATGAATCGTCCTTCGTTGCCTCATACTTGGACCGTTTGTGTTCGTCATTTTCGTGGAATATTTCTGTCGAAAGCGTACATTGGATCACTCTCTCCTGAATTAGTTTTACTCGTGCTAACCCATATTTAATGCAGCGATCACAGGGGGTCTAATCCCTTACTCGGGAGGCCAAAACTCTGGCCGAGTATCCCATGACCAGACCGGCTTCAGGTTTGATCAGCGGGCGTTCAGCACGTTCTTGGTTCATTTCGAGCCTCCCCAAGTCGGTTGCAATGATGTATCCATGTGTGTTTTAGGGTCTGTTTTAGATTAGTTCTAAAACTTAATTGTGGCCATTTTTATGAATGTATATATGTTGAAAGTTTTAAGCAAATTTAATTTCCTAAAATTATTTTAAACCCACGCGGGCACGTGACTAGTTCCTATTATATAACAAACATGGTATTGAAAATTAGATCGGAAATGAGTATTTTCATTCCCGGCTAATTCTCTTCAACCACACAACTCATTACTACTTTTTTATGGCAAATGATTGAATTGCAAACATAGTAAGATGACAAGGCCCTCAATCCTCGTAGAACAGTAAAGCCTGAGAAGAATTTATTGCAAGAGAAATAACTGTAGATGTTTCCTACATAAATATCTCAATCATAACTGATAAATCCATTTCATTAATGCACTACTTCCCTCAAGCTATTTAAGTTCTCATCTCTAGATCGAATACATCATCAAACAATCAACAATCTCAGAAAATTTCCTAACCCTTCCGTCCCCTAAAGACCATCATGGCAATGCTCAAGAACTTGTTTGCTCTCATGACCTTGCTAGTCGTCACGATTGCATTGCTTCCTAGAGCTACCTTCGCCGGAAACCCTGATTGTGCAAAGGGAATGACTTATGATTGTGGGTCTGCGTTCTTTCAAATCATAGTCCTTGCCGACACCTTTGAACCCACCAATGAATGTTGTCGCGAGCTCGTGAAGGCGGGGAAGAACTGCCATAACCAATTCGTGGAGTTGATCCTCTCGACCCACAAGTCGATCAGGGGGACAGTATCCGATGTCCGCAGGAGGAGCAATGAGACGTGGAACAACTGTGTTGCCGGTGTATCACCTCCCGAGCCCGCTCATTGAGAGCTATTCCTATTTTATAGTACACTCAACATGTAAACTAAAAAAGACAAAAGAATTATGATTTTTCTATTTGATTCTCCTCAAAGAATTTTCCTATTTTTTGCGCCTCTTAAGAAAAAGTGCAAAAGCGGATGAATAATATTTTTAGGGTTCAATGTGCTTAGAAACTTGTGATTTTTTTAAAATGATCTGCCCTTGAAGTTGTTTCTTACTTTCGAGTCTAAAAACATAGAGTACCATGCAAAACTGAAAGAAAATGTTACTTTGTTTCTTATGCTTTCAAAACCTTTTGAAACGAATACCTAAATGATCGAAAGATCAAACGATGGTTTGAGAATCATACATTCATCTTTGCTAATCACATGAATACGCAGTTAACTCTAGCCGATCTAGCTATTTATACTTATATATAAAGTATAGTAAAGAGGACTTCTTACTTTTAAGGTTTTTTGACAAAAAATTCCCAATAGTTGTTTTATAATACTCTATCAATAGATAAATGTATAAATTAATAATCTTATAATAATTTTACTTTGAATCTTTTTAATCTTTTAAACAACAATAAAAAATTCAAATCTCGAAATATATTTCTCTTTTTATATATGTGTTTCGCCGGAAATGGTTCCTGCGACGAAATATAATTCACCGAAAGTCGTTCTTCGATTTTTAATTAGAGGAGACCGAGTTCTGGGTCTAATTCTGGACAGGAGTGATCCAGGTGTGAGCAAAGAGTCTGATTGTCTTGATTGATAACACAAATCTCGTACACTGACGAAGTTTGACTTAGATTTATAGAGGACTTAGATGAATTTGTCCAGTTACTGATGGCGTCCGAAGTTCATCGATACGATATTACAAAGTTATTGACTTGGAAGATAAACAATTATAGCTACGGAAACTAAATGTGCAATACTGGAAAGTAAAGATAAAAAGACAGCATTTTGGTTTGTGTTCGTGGGGGGCCTTTCTTTTGGCTGAGTGCTATTTATAATGTGAGCTTGGTAACCGTTTTTGACATTGTGTTCGATAACCACCGTTGATCTCATCTTCACTGCCCATCTAATGACATTTGTCCGTCAACTGCTATCGATCTTATCTTTTATCCGAGGTGATAACAGTTGTCGAGTTCATACCGTCTTGACACCTGTCCTTCTCGAGGCAGTAACAGTCATTGAGCTCATGTCGTCTTGGCACCTGTTCTTCTCGAGGCAGTAATCGTCATCGAGTTCCTCTCATCCTGACACCTGTACTTTCCGGGTGATTATCGATGTCGATCTCTTCTCATTCTGACACCTGTCCTTCTCGGGACGATAACCATCATCGAACCCTTCTTATTCTGACACCTGCTCTTCCCAAGACGATAAATGTCATTGAGTTCTTTTTATTCTGACATATGTCCTCTCCAGGACGATAACCATCATCAAACTCTTCTTGTTCTGACACCTGTCCTCCCCGGGACGATAGCCGTCATCGAACTCTTCTCGTTCTGACACCTATCTTTTCTAAGCTGAAACTGTCGTTGAGCTCTTCCTGGCTTGACACCTGTCTTTCTTAAGCTGGAACTATAGTCGAGCTCTTCCCGGCTTGACATTTGCCCTTTTACTTGTCGACGTCTTCGATGACAATCTTTTGTCGACAACTTTAGCGCTCGCTCTCAAGCCCTTTCAATTTCAAATTCTTGTCGATATCTTTGAGTGCTTGCCAGCTGTTTTGCTTACGTAAGCCGTCTCGTATGGGCTACGTCATCCTTTGACGTCTTTTATTCTTTTATTTATTTCAATTGTCAATAACTTAATTAATTATAGGTGTCAACATATGCCCCCTTTTAAAATAATTAATTCTTTTTAGATTTAATTCGTTTAAAGAATTATATTCGGCTCGGGTGGTCTTAATCTCGACTCCTCGTAACTTACGCTCGTTCAATCTTTCTGCTTTACTCTGACACGCCATCTCGATCATTTACGGCTTGGCAAATCTTCATGATGGCAGATCATTTGAATTGTCGTATCTTCGGCGATAAAAATCAAAACTTTAACTCTTCATCTTCTCCTTCGACCGTCATATCTCAATGATCAAAACTTTAACCTTTTCATCTTCTTCTTCAGTCCCACATTTCTATGTCTCCTCCAGATTTCCTTATTCAATTCATATTCATGGCTACCCAATATTCTCCCGAGATGTATATCAAAAAATTTGATCGTCTACAAAATGATGAGGAGTCCCCAAACTGTGATTTTTCGTTTGTTGCATTTGGTTGACGAATCCTCATATCAACTTGTTTTGGGTCCCTGTTTTCGTGACCATAAGCAAATCCCAGCTTCTCTCCGTCCATACTTCCCAAGGAGAGCAAGAGAACTTCTTTCTATCCAGAAGCCCTCGGTTGCAGACATCTGGATTTTAGAAACTTCACGATTTCGAGGGTTTCCCTCTCCTGAAACGAGTATTCACCGCTGGTACGTGAGACTGAATGATGATTTAACTACCCATCTTGCTTGGATGAGAGCCGGCATTGACATGGCTTTGGAGGTCAGAATGCTGTCGTATAACTTAAACCTAGGGCTTTTGGGTGCTGCTATTAGTTTCTGGTCCCCTTCAACTAACTATTTCTTTTTCCCCTAGGGCCCAATGTCTATTACCCTTTTAGATAAATATGCTATTACCAACCTTCCTCCGGTTGGGACCCCTATAGAAGATATGGCTTCGTCATCTGTACCTGATGTTTCTGAGGACAACCTTGCTTACAGTAGATTTCTTGAGGCATATTTCCCTAATACTGACCCAATAACCCCTGATGAGCGTATTCTCTTTCTCCTTTCGTTGAATTCTATTGCAAGAAGCTCTTGAGTGTTTGCCCTTCCAAAATACCTCTCTTGATCTTCCTTATGACAAATTTATGGACAAATTTGCTAAATCGGAAGGAGCAGTTTATCCTGATGAGCATGTAGCATTTCTTCTATGTTGGCTCTCACGATGCATATTTTGCACACCAACCTTGTCAGTTTCTTCGGAATTCCTAGACATTGCTCATATGCTTTCTCATGGCCTTGACGTGGGTTTAGGTCGAATTGTTCTTGCTGTACTTTATCGATCGCTCACAGATGCTCATACTTCTCTTTCTAATGCACATCCTGACCCTTTCTTTGGTTCCTTATGGATGGTGCATGTGACATTCTGAATTTCAACTCATTTTTGGGATTTATGAAATGAATATTTCTTTCATGCGCTTTCAGTTAAATCTCGCTAAGAATTGATCACTCTCAAGTAGACTAACCGTTAGGGAATGACTAGCTAGGAATCAAGTACGTGGACCTAAGAACTTGGCCATGGATTGACACTTCGACCATAAGGATTGGCGAGGGAATATTTTGGGCCATTAAAGGCCGATCCAAGGATGGTTACGGAACGATTCGCAAATGTCGTGCAATTGGATCGCGGGTGATTCCGCTTGGCCATTGTATGAATTTCGAACTATCCTAAACCTAATCCGAACGATCGCGTCATTCGGAACTAGTGATTGACCCTCACAATTACATGGTAACCAAGGTCGCCACGGCTCGAGTAAACTTAGATGTGGCTCGATATCAAATCGGCCACGAGTCGATAAGCGTAAATTCCTAAAAGTTGCTCGTTAGTTTGAGATACACTAAAGCCACGTTCGATTGAATTTGACCATTAATTAGAATTCGAATCGGGTATCGAAGTTTCAAAATTTCCACGACTAATTTGTCGGACGACGTCTCATTAAACGTGGCCAATTGTCGGGTCGATCGGAATTCCGGAAAAGGGGAAAATGTGGACAAATTATTGGTTGAGATTATGTTGAACAATCTCTCTCCTCCTCCCCCGCCGAGCCCCCATGACGCTGCTTTTCCTCCCCCATGCCGCTGACCTATCCTTCCCGCTGACTCCCTCCTCTTTCCCCACTGATTTCCTTTGCACCCTCACGTTACTTCTGCCCTCATGTGCTGTTTCTTCCTTTGCATGATTACTTCTGCTATTGACTTTGCTGCTGCCTGTTGCGACCTACCTCTCGAGGGCCGAACTCGGTGAAGCGGGTTTAGAGGTAAGTGTTCATGAAACGATCCATACGGTACATCATAAAAGATGGCTCATCCGTACAATCCATTATTCATGAACGTGAATCTTCCCTAATTCATACCTCGCGTGACAGCGGATCAATTTTATCTTTTTTTAGGAGTCACCACTAGCCTAGGTCGGAGGTCGGCTAGAATACCTAACCAATATGTGGGAATTTCGTATTAGTTTCTACGAAAACCAGAGATCAAAGGTTCGGGGACTAGCTTACGTTAATATTTCTATTAACGCCCTTTCGGTACCTCTAAACTTAATATGGTTGTTATCTAAGTTGTCATGCATTTGTTCTTTACCATTTTCATGTCAAAGTTTTAGTCCACTAAGTGATCATGCATCTTGTTTTTTTTTTTTTTGTGTTTTCATTTAAGATTCTAAACTAATCCTATCTTAGTCTAGAAAAAGAAAGAAACAATCAATTGTATTGAAAGACATTTCGTAAAGTAAACACTCAAAGTATTGAAAAGACGAGCTAATTCTAAGTGCGAGAAAGTAAAACACGCAACTCGTCGGGTGTTTATTACAACACAAATTGAAAACCCGAGACATGATTGGGGATGAATGAATTGAATACAAATTGAAACCGGATCGGACATCGGTCTATCGCCACCATCAAGTGAATACAAATTGAGACCGGATTGGACATCGGTCTATCGCCTTAGTCTTTTACAATTTTAGATTATCCCCTCCATGGACTGCCTCATCGAGTGTCGGCGTTTACATTCACAACATACATTCACGACAAACAATATACAAAGGAATAACCAAAGAAAAGCAATGGTGCAAACAATTCACTAATCAAGCACGGGCCTCGGGATCGGCTTTTGTTTTTCATGCATTTCGATTCACCAGCCACCTAATCATCTAACATTATTTGATTAATGGTTAATGATAATGGGCTACCATTTGCATTCACAAAACGGCAACTCATATCAATTAACCCCTAAAGTCGGGTTTTAAATGACCATAATGGTCTACCCGCCGAACATGCACCGGGTCTAACA